CCTCACCTGTAAGATAGGGGATGATTTAAATGAGGGTTAAAGAAGGCCAAGGCCAGCATGCACTTCCTGAGCATTTTCCTGAGCCTTGGCCACACTGTGATCTCAGTATTACTTCCATGTCGGAGGTGGGGCACTGAGATGTGGAGAGGTTAAGCAGTTAGCCCGAGGTCACCCAGAGCTTCCTGGGCCGGTCCCCTCCACATCACTTTCTCAGGGCTGGGACCCACCGGAGCCAGCTTTGGTTACTCAAGTCCAGACATCAGATTAATGTGAATTCCCATTTGAATCCTTATGCCAATGTCTGCCTCTCATGGCTCGCTTCCTGTGTGTTAGGCTGAATGCTTTCTGTGCATGACCCTCCCATTTTGCATAAGAGAAGACTGAGGCTGACAGATGGGATGTTTTGTTCAAGGTCATGATTCTGGCCTCAAAGCCCATGGCTCAGGTTAGCCAGTGGTCACCAGAAACATGTTATGTGTCTGCCCTGTGCCCAGCCCAATGTAGGAGCTGTGGACATAGGGCTGGACACTGTCCCTGACCTCAGGCTGTTCACGTGACTGGGGCAGGGCCAGAGGCAGACACTTGGGCACCATTGCACAGCAGTGAGGAGAGTGGGTCCCTGGCCCTAAGTGGTACAGAGTGGCGTGGGAGAGAGAGAGGGCAAGGGCAGCTTTACAGAAGAGGTGTCGCCTGAGCAGGCTCTGAAGGAGGAAAGGGGCTTGCTGTATGCATGTGCATGCCCATGCGCACATGAACAGCATGTGTGCACGTGACTTCTGACTAGCATCTTGGGATGCCGTCAGTCTGGACCCGGCACGAGGCTTGGTTGGTGTCAGTCCTGGCCCCCTGTTGTGTGAAGGCTGCTCTGAAGGCCTTTTAGGGGCTCACCATTTCTTGAGTATGTGCTACAGGCCAGGTACAGAGACGTGTTTTACAGACATGAGCTAACAGTCTCTTTATTTTCCAGATAAGGCATTTGAGGCAGAGAGACAGTAAGAGTTCTTCTTCTCAAGGGTCTTCTCACTGCCTCGCATTGTCTCACTGTGGCTGGCCTTTCTCAGGGCCCGAAGTTCTCCCTGGTGGCCATCTGGGTGGAGCACACAGCTGCGGCCGGCTGTGCGTGTCTGTGTGCATACTGGGAGACCTGATGGCAGGTGGAAGATCTTTGCTGATTAAGTGTATCTCCTCAGGGAGAAGGAGAGGCAGGGGGTGGACAGGGCCACCTCCCTGGTCCCCCAGGCTTGAGGGCTGGCAAGGCCCTGATTCTGCTCCCTGGGGGCCTCTGGCTTACTCAGTGGTTCACTGACTTCTGCACATAGTTTTCTGCCTAGGGGACCATTTCTCTCCTTGGAGGTGGTGGGGCTGTGTGGTAGCCATCTGATAGGGGTGAGTCAACTACCCAGGCTTGGGCACCTCCACAGCTTCCCCGTTTCCACGGGACCAGCTGGATGTGGTTGCTGTGGGAGTGGGGGCCTGTGGGTGTAGTGGTTTGTTTTGCTTTCCTGCTGTCACCTTAGTGTCAGTGCTCGGTATCTAGCTGCACTTGCCCTATAGAATGTGTCCTGACTGTAGCACAGAGTTGTTGGTGGGCCACACCTCAGTGCCCACCCCCTGCCCGTCCTGCCACTCACAACCCCCTTCACCATCCTCTGTGACCGTTGCCTGCCTTGAGTGACTCAAAATTCCCTGGTAGTGTTCCTCATCTTGCCTTTACTGCACACTCTTCCCCTGTCTGAGCAGCTGCTTCCCCCAGGAAGTCCTCCTTGATGGGATCTCCACTTGGGCTCCCACAGCCTCCCTCTCTCCTGGGGCTGGGCCCACATCTGGTTGATCTCTCTTGCCCCGGCAAAGATGCCTGGGACTGGGCACAGAGCAGGTACTTGGTGAGAGATGGCCAAAAGCACTACATGAGACGGGGGATGATCTGAGAGTTGATTGGTCTGCTGTGGTATCCTGGGCCAGCTGGAGAAGGAGCAGCAGGACAGTGCAGGCCCTCCTGGGCCAGTCAGGGGTAGGAAGGGTCCAGAATCTACTCTGGAACTGGGTGCCCTTGGTCTAGGACCTGAGCCTGGGTCCTGGGCAGGTAGAGCTGATGTTCCAGACTGTGCCACCCACTTCAAGGTCTTCAAAGGGAGAACATAGCTGAGGAGAGTGATGGTGGTGACCTGCTGGCCTCAGACAGCTGCTAGACTGGCTGCCCTGGTCCTGTGGGGCCCAGCCCTATTGGGTACTCATCCTTGCACTGTCCCAGCTTTTTTCCCTCCATCTGCCACCCCCACTGCCACTTGTTTGCTTCTTATTCTTGTTGGGTTTTGGCCACTGCTTCTGCTGAACATCCGTGTTATCCTTTCTACTGCCTAGTGCAGCCTGCGGTCTCTGTCTCCATCTTGATCTCCACTTCCTCGTCTCCCTGCAAACCCCACCCCCATCTCAGCCTCGATGTCCCCTTTCTGCACTCCCATCTCTCTTCTTTCTCTTTCTGTGCTCTCCCCACAGTTGCCTCACCCCTCCTTGCCTGTTTATTTTGTGCCTCTCTACTCCCTTTCTCTCCTCCTCCTCTCTCTCTCATCACAGAGAACTCGGGGACTGGAGGGGAACCTGGGAGAACCCAGCGGGCCAGCTCTTCTTGTCAGGGCTTGCTCTCAGGCTCCTCTCCTGACCTTGGGTTTCTCTTTCTCTCTGTGTTTACCCACCCATCTCTCCACCTCTGCCCTCCACCTCCTTTTTGCCACACAGCTGAGAAGGGACTTACCAGCAGGGAGAGTCTGCTTCTGAGATTTCCAGTTGGGAGTAGATCCTTGAGTGTGGCCTTGAGGCCCTGTATGTCCATGTATGTGTTCCTGTGGGCTCTGGGGCTGGGCCTAGCATGACCTGCTGGGCTGTGGAGAAGGGAAGCAGGGTGGCTAGAGTGGGTTGCATCTGAAAATCTAGTCAGATTGGGAGCTGACTCCTAGCAACACAAAGAGCCCGACCCCTGGCCACCCCTCACTGCCCTCCTTGTCTTGGGTGGTTGGTTACCTCTCAGCTCAGGGGCTGCTCTGCTCCTCCCTCTGGAATTCATGAGCTTTGTGCCCAGGATATGGAGTTTTGTGGGGAGGGGGACCACCCCTACTTGGTCTCTCTTGTGTTCGGCTCACTCTTCAGCTGCCGGGGGGGAGTCGAGCACCCAAGGATGCAGTGTGAGATCATCCTGATTCCTCATGCTGTCTTTGAAGCCCTTGTCCTCCTGGTTTTGGTCACTACAGTCAGCCTGTCCTAAGCTCCTCCTCTTGGCTGATGGGCAAGCCCTAGAGGGAGGATAGGGAGGCCTCGAGACTTGATGGACTCAGTGCTGCCCTTGGGGATCATAGCTGCTGTGAGACCAGATGGTCCCAGCATCCTGGGCTGGTGATTTTGGCTGTGGGCCTCCCAGACCCTGGCTGGGGTGGGGTAGCCTCTGTTATTGGTACCTGGGATCTCTTATTTTGGCCAGTGTCTTTCTCAAGGTAACACTCTCCCCATCTCCCTCTGCCCCTACAGGTCCTTCAGAAACTGGGGAAGGCAGACGAGACAAAAGATGAGCAGTTTGAACAGTGTGTCCAGAATTTCAACAAGCAGCTGGTGAGTGCGGGTGGCCCTTGGCCTTAGGGAGGTCTTGAAAGCGAAACTGTGGCTGCTGGGTGGAAAATGTCAAAGGCTGAATTTGTGGAGCAGGGGAGCTTGGAGAAAGGGGTCAGTGAGGGCTGGCAAGGTCACGGAACACTTCTTAGGCGAGGGGGCACTGGCACTGAGCATGGGCCGTGGGAGATAGGAGGGAGCAGGGGCATACCTTTGAGGTGACCATATCTGTCTTTGGGAGCTTAGCTTAGAGCCTCTCAGGGCAGGGATAGGAGCCCTGTGTCTGTTTGTCCCGCAGACCAGTGATAGGAGTTGTTTCAAAGGTTAGGTAGGTGCCATGAAGGAGACAACTACTGCCTCTGTGGCTCTGGGTGAGCCCCTGCTCCTTTGGCCTCATTTTTCTCACCTGTGAAATGGAGGCTCAAACAAGAAACCTGAAGTCTCTGCTTCTGATCCTGTCTCCAGCAAGCCCTAGGGGCATGTCCCCATTCGGCTGGCTTTCTCAGTTGTGGGATGCTGCTCTGAAAGTCATTTAGGGATCGTCATTACTAGAGTATCTACCATGGATGAGGTACTGCTTGCTCTGTGTTTTACAGACATGAGTTTTGCATCCTTGGGGCAACACTTGAGGCTCAGAGAGATTAAGCAACTCTTCCGAGACCACATACCTTATATGAGGGCTTGGGGTTTTAAATCCAGATCTGTCAACTCCCAGGTTCCCACTCTGGAGCTAAGCCCCAGTCCTGAGGGCTAGGGAGAAATGTTAGGGTAGCTCCTGAGCTGTAGCTTGAGGAAGGGGACCTAATGAGACTGCCCTAGAGCATGCTGAGCTATTTGGCAGAAGGTGAAGAAAATGCAGGTCTAGGGGCTAAGGTTCCTGCTGGCCTGGCCCCAGAGCTGTGACCAGAGTGTTGTTTTCCTTATTCGTTCCTCAGAGTCAACCCCTTTGGGCCCCTGGCTCTGGGCAAGGAGTTACTCACTGATCCTTGGGCAGAGGGGCCAGGCAATGAAGCCAGGGCTAAAGATAGCCAATGCTGGTGGCTGTCTGGTGGCTCCCTAGTTGTAGACATGAAGTGGTCACTTAAGCTGGGACCCTATCCACTCTCAGGTTGGGTGGGGTGGCTGGCTTTTCAGGGGCCAAGAGTGGTTGCAGGAGGGGGTGAATCTGAGGTCTCATTCAAGGCTTGGGATAGCCTTTCCTTGGGGGTTAAGGTGGCCAGGCGCTTCCGGATTTGATTGGTGTGTGTGGGGTGACTGGGCCCTGGGATGACTATTCTGGAGGGGGGAATACAGGGAGCTGAAGTGGCTTGGCCTTGCCAACCTACAAGGCTGGCAGGACCATGGGGAATGTGAGGCGAAGATCAAGCTTGAGAAGCCAGGAAGCTGAGCACCCTCTTGTTCTTTATCTGTGAACACCAGGCAATGAAGTGGCCCCAGTGCCAGTCAGACTGGGTTGGCAGGGAATGTGGTCTTTAAGGAGGCAAATTCCTACTCCTTTTAGTAGAGATGGGCCCTAGGAGAGGGCATAGTCGCCTGCTCTCACAGCCCCTTCTGGACCCACTCAAACTGGCAGTCATAGCAACCCGGCCCTCCTGTCTGTGCACTGAGAAATCCTGGAGGGGCTTCTTGTTCCCCTTCCCCCTGTGTACTGTACACCTAGCTCAGGCCCTCCTAGAAGCCCCCCAGGTCCTCCGAGTGGGCCAAGCTCTTTTTCCTAGGGGTCACCTGCAGCATGTACTCCAGGACTCATCATGGCTTGGCTGTTTGTTTATCTGTCACTGAGGTGGGGCAAGTCTTATTCCTTCTTGTCCCCAGGGCCCACTCGGGGCTCTGCTCCAAGTGGGCATTGCTACTGATTGAAGATTCTCTGATATTGACTGCAGAGGGGCAAGTGTCAGCTGGAGGCAGAGGGGATCCATGCAAGAGGGGCACCCCTGCACCTTAGATCCATTGGGAAGATGGAGGCTCCATCTTCAGGCAATTGGTGGAAGTTGATGTTAGGCATGGTGGGGATCACCCTTTGGAGGGAGGTACAGTGAAGATGTGGAGATGCTGGCCGAGCCGCCTCCACAGAGCTGCAACCACAGGTGCTGGTCCTGGGCTGTGGTGCCCTTGCAGTCCCCCTAGTCTGGAGCCCAGAGAGTAGGTCCAGAACTTTATCCTCCCCCTAGCTTCTCTGCAAGGAGTATGTTAGAGCCCCAGGAAGCTCTGGAGAGCTGTTTGTCAAACGCCTGTTTGGGGGGCCGAGGGAGCCAGGTGGAAGTAAGCACACACATTCTGTGCTGGCTGGCCTGGGCACTGCCCTGAAGGAGGCCGCTGGATTGGGGAGGGCTGTGTCTGACCTTGGGGATTGACTGAAGCCGGCTTAGGGGCCCAGCTGCACTTGGCACGTGGGTGGCAGGCCCCTTGCACATCTGTGTCCTGTGTGCCTGCTCACAGTGTGGCCTTGTTTGGGAGGCACAAGGGGCCCTGGTACAGCCTGACGCCCAGGCAGGCGCAGCACCTCACCCCATGGGTGACCACTTCCTCAGGGTGCAGAGCAGATAGGCACTAGTGGATGGTGGGGAGAGGAGCAAGATGAGGGAGGCTCGGCAGATAGGAAAGCTGGTTTTAGCAGCAGGACGTCCTCCCCAGTGCGTCAGGTCCAGCGTGATGCTGGCTTTAGTACCTGGCCCGTCTTCCCCATCAACCTTTCCTCTTACATCTTTTATGCTCCCTCTCAGCTAGACCAGTGTCCTGAGAGTCCTAGACATGGCCCTCACATGCTCTGCACACGGTTTGGCTATCCCCTTTCAGAGGTCCCCCCTCCCCGTCCTTTGTCCTGGCATGGTGTGGCAGGAGCCTGTTGGGCTTGGGCACCACCTGAGCTTTTGGAACAAGGGGCTGGAGGGTTACTCCACTCTGCCCCTGTCCCCGGCCTGTGTTTCTGTGTTCTTTGGTCACCCTGTCCACAGTTGTCTGAGAGCAGGCCTGCTGCCCGCCGGACCCATTATATACGTGTTTTGTATTGTGTGTGTGTCATTCAGCAGAGCCCGCAGTGTCTTGTCCAGGGCGGAGGGGTCTATCTTCCTGACTTTCTTATGAGGCTGAGGATAGTACCTGGAAGAGACAGGTGCTGACAGACTCAGGATGAATGTCCTGTTGGGCACAGGGCTCCTGCAGCAGAGATAGAGCTGAGAACACAGTGGATGCTCAGTGGGTGCTGGTGTCCAGAGAGGCAACAGCTGCTGTGCTGTGAATCGAGCTGGATTCTGGGTCCTGGCCCAGGGGTGTTTACACAGCTCTCTTCTTCAGTCCTCCCAATGCCCTGATGAGGAAAGCTGGTCCACGGAGAGCCTTCGTTTGTCCACGAGGGAGTGCAGGAAGGAGAAGGTGAGGTATGGGCTTTACTCTCAGGATCTCACCTTGTTCTCATCTTTCTCTTTGCAGAACGAGGGCACCCGGCTGCAGAAAGATCTCCGGACCTACCTGGCCTCTGTCAAAGGTAAAGGGCAGACCTGTTCTTCATGGGACACAGGGAGTGGCCTCCCCACGTCGCGCTGGGAGGGGAGGCAGGGTCTGTGGGGTAAGGGCAAGGGCTATTGTGGAAGCCCATGTACCTCTTGGGCTTTTGGGGGATGCCCTGTCCTGGGCCCCATGGCCCTGGCTGAAGCATGGCCTTTCTGCCCCACAGCCATGCATGAGGCCTCCAAGAAGCTGAACGAGTGTCTGCAGGAGGTGTATGAGCCCGACTGGCCTGGCAGGGACGAAGCAAACAAGATCGCTGAGGTGAGCTAGGCAGGGGGCTCGGCCCTCCCACAGGACCCTGCTGGCCTCCGCCGCCAGCCCATTTTACAGATGAAGAAATTGAGTTTCTGAGAAGCCACCGAGCCAGGAAGCGATGGGGCGAGAGCTGACCCCCAGGTCCCTGGGAGGCGAGGTGGGTGCTGGGGTGGCCGGTGGCCCTGGTGATAGTCATGTGCTCCTGCCTCTTCCTTCAGAACAATGACCTGCTTTGGATGGATTACCACCAGAAGCTGGTGGACCAGGCCCTGCTGACCATGGACACGTACCTGGGCCAGTTCCCTGACATCAAGGTGAGAGGCTGCCTGTCAAGCTGGCAGCATGTGTTGGGGAGCTGGAGAGAGACAGAAGGATCAGGACTGGGGCAGTCCAGGGCTGGCTCAGGCACTGTGGTGACTGCACTGAAGCCAGGCATCCCCTTTGCTGGGCACTTCATCTCTCCAGGGCTGCTTCTGCTGAGGCCAGCCCGCCAACCCCCAGACCTGGGCCTTTCTGAGCTGGGAGCTTCCGGCTGTGGGAAGTGACCCCATGGTGCACGTACGTGTGTGTGTGCCCTTGTCACTCTAGAGTCTGTAGGACTGAATAAGATGTATTAGGGGGATGTCCAGCTTGGGGGTTTGTGCCCAAAGGTGCCTTGTGATAGACTGTATGTGCTTGGAAGGGAATGTATACATAGTTGTGTGTTGCCCCTTATCTGGTTGTATTTGTGTGATTGTATATGTTCAAAAAGCCAGCTGCCTCTGCTGGTCTGGGGATGTGCTGCAAGTTGTCAGTGTGCCAGGGTCTCCGCCAAGGCCTGGGTGCTTCAGCTATGGATGAAGAGGGGTCTGGAGTTCAGGTGGTGACCTGGACATGGGCCACTGGGAGTCATGTTCCATGCTAGCCCTCTTGGCCACCCAGTGTAGATGCCTCAGGCTCCCAAAAGTGCCTTGTGGGGAGTGTGGAAGGAAGGCTGATGGTGTTGGCCCTGGAGAAGAGAAGGCTGAAGCCCAGGAGGCATCTTCAAGGATCTGAGGGCTGGGCCAGGGAAGAAGCTCGGTCAACATGGTACTGGCCAGTGGGTACTGACTAATAGGTTAATATTGCAAGGAAATGGTTTGATCTTTGTATAAGAAAGGACCTCAGAGGGCACAAATTGCTTTGAAGGCGTGAGCTCTTTGCCACCAGAAATGTTCGAGCAGCCTTGTCTCAAGCATGTGTGAGATGCGGTTGTTGAGCCTGGGGTCTACTGCTTAGGCCGTCTGGCTCCATCCAGGTCCCATGTCCATGACCCAGTTTCTCTGGGCCCAGCTGGGTCAGCATAGCAGCAAGCCTTGTGCCAGACCCTGTTCAGCTACTCCCTCTTCTGTCTGTCCCTAGTCACGCATTGCCAAGCGAGGGCGGAAGCTGGTAGACTATGACAGTGCCCGGCACCATTACGAGTCCCTCCAAACGGCCAAAAAGAAGGATGAAGCCAAAATTGCCAAGGTAAGGGCTGGAGAGGGGCCTGGGCAGAGTGTTCAGAGAGACAAAGCAGGGAGAGTGTGGGTGCCCCGCTACGGGGAGCCTTCCTCTTGCACTGCGCTCATCTGCCCCTTTGCACCCTGGCTCTCACACTCCCCTGGGGGATGGGAATCCTTGACCCTGACCCCGTTATGGATCGGTTTCCACCTGTGACTAGTACCAGGTCCCAGGGCTGGGGTGGAGATGGGGCTGGGCCCTGGGTGGGTGAGTAAAAGGTCCTCGTGGTCCCCTGGGTGAGGGACCACCTACAGCCCTTCTATGGTGCCTGCCCTGACTCCTGGCCCTTCCACTCACTCTGAGGCCACCTCCCAGAATGAGAAAAGGCTTGAGTTTCACTGGCAAGGCCCCACCTGGCCTGCTGTTCTCTGAGTGGAATTCCATCACAGGATCATATGTGACCCTGTCTCCATTGGAAGAAGCCGTATGGTGAGGGTGGAATTGGGTGTGAGGGGGTGGGGGTGCACAGGATTTGGGTTGGCCACACTCCACACTCTCCACATGGCCCCAAGGGCGAATCCTCCTATGCTTGCCCGGC